GTTTTACCGGGGAGTTAAAACATTGTGTGGGACATTCTTTGATTGGAAATTAGGTTGAAATAATTTTCCTTGCCAGATTCCTGTTGATTCGTGTCGCTTGATGCCCAAAGCCTGATATACTTCTTGCAATATTGTGTATAACCAGTGAGTTTGCAAATGCTTTATTTAAGAAGATATCTAATGTTTCAGAAATAATTCATTCGGTGCGTGCTGTTTATTGCTCCTTATTGTTCCCTGACATTTATGGCAGGTATTTCAGGTTTGCGTTTTTCCCCCTAACTTTTACCATCCACAATTAGTTTTTTATTTAAAGTAATAATTGATAAATTTATTTATGCCACTTAATATGAAACATGATAAACTATACATAGTTGGTATTTAACCGGGATAAATTTTCCTAATAACAAGGAGAACTTGCGCTTTCATTCTTTCTACTTGGGTTATTGGCTTGCAGATCGTAAAAGTAATTAATTTTGTATAATTATATTGATTTCTTGTTTTGACTTCATTTTTTTCATCTAGTTCTCTAATCAAGGTTCTGGGCCTCGTGTGAGTCGACCAATGTTTGCAGAAGAAAATCGCAGCGGTGATGGTCATGATAAAAAATCTACGCCTTTGATCGAAATGGTTAAAGACGGCCAACTTGGATCCGTTGTGGAATACATTCAGAAGAACCCTTTGGCAGTTCATGAAAGAGATGTGAATGTAAGTGAAATTTTTTATTGCTTATTTTTAACTTTTTACGAGGAGAATGATAGATAATTGCACTTTGCGAACTTTAGTCAATTTGGGTCAATGAGGACTTAAATACTCCAATTTTGTGACCAATGAATTAGGGAATAAGCACTTTTCCCCTCTCTCACTTTGCCATACAAGGAGTTTTTTTAAATGTCTTTAATACTCAAATCGAATTAGCTAAAATTTTCTCTCCACTTTTGATATTTTTTATGACCATACATCAGTTTCCCTTGCATTCAAATATCTCAACGTTATTTTATCAGAATTAAGGTAATGGAATTAAGTAGTCACCTCGGCTATTTAAATCGCTTAATCTCTTAATCTGACCTTAAAATCTATTCTTTTCCTACTTCCTAACCTCCAGTAAGATATTTATTTTTATTTATTTCGAATGGCAGGCATTTTGATAGTTATCATTAGCTCTTAGCTGACGTTCAAAGTTCAAGAGGGTGGACCGAAGTGTACTTTACAGTTGAAAAAGAGATAGACACAAAGGCAGAGAAAAGGTGAGGTGAGTAGTGTGGAAGTAGTCGAATATGACATACAGTGACGTTATGGTAGTTTGAAGTGAGAAGTCAACTGGCAGTTAATAGACTTTTTTGCCGTATGAGTATACGTTGCCCAGGGTGCACCACGTGGAGGTAAGTCTATCGCAACAACTGCCGGTTAATAGACTTTTTTGCCGTATGAGTATACGGTGCCCAGGGTGCACCACGTGGAGGTAAGTCTAAATATACATTGCCCAGGGTGCACCACGGAGGTAAGTCTATTGCACACCCCATGATACCTATCATAACGCCTGCCATTTGAAAGTACGTTGTCCAGGGTGCACCACGTGGAGGTAAGTCTATCGTATTCTTAAGAATAATTGTTTAGAAAACCAGCAAGGGTTGAAAGTTGCCCAGGGTGCACCACGTGGAGGTAAGTCTATCGCACGCTGTCCAGGGTGCACCACGTGGAGGTAAGTCTATCGCACACACCCCTCCGCTTCCAAATAAGATGTTGATAGTGAAGGCATATTTCCAGGGTGCACCACGTGGAGGTAAGTCTATCGCACACCCACTTGGCTCTCCCCTCAAATTTCAACCCTACACGGATGGGCTCGAGTAAGATATATGCACTGGTCAGTTGCATCATATGAGTATTGCCATCCCTTTTAGTTAGGTATTGAATATGGGTTTAATCATGTGGGGTAGACTTCACTCTTGATATCTGATGAATGGTGACTAATGGGAATAAAGTACAATCCATTTTTTTCTTTTACTTTCCCTTCATTTTTGCTTTTGGCATTCCTTTTGTGTTATCCCTAGAGTATTCGGAACTCATGCCCTCTTCACTTCTCATATTCTATTAAACAAGCCATCTTTTTTAAGCTAGGAGGTTTAAGAAACTTTCTCATGACTTGTGCATTAAATAGATTTCATATGCATTGAATAATTGGAAACGTATATGCTAAATATCGGGTTGGCAACTAAGTCATTGCCGTTTTTGTTGACGGATTCACTATACTTTCTTTTGTTTTGTTAACATGGCCAGAGCATTTAACCTATATTTTTTTCTTACTGTATGGACTTCTAGGTTATTTAGTAAAAATTTTTTTATTGTTTAGTTCTTTAGTTTTGTTTTTATCCCAATTTAAAAATGAAAGAACAGGACGTGCACTTCCGATACATTTTATTGTATTACTTCCGAAAAGGCAAGAACGCATCGCAAGCACAAAAGAAGTTATGTGCCGTATATGGAGATGAAGCCTTAAAAGAAAGGCAGTGTCGAAATTGGTTTGAAAGATTTCGTTCCGGTGATTTTTCACTGAAAAATTCACAACGATCTGGCCGCCCAGTCGAAGTGGATGAAACCCATATCAAGGCCATTATCGATTCAAATCGTCACAGCACAACACGAGATATTGCAGAGAAGCTCAATGTGTCGCATACATGTATTGAAAAAAATTAAAAACCCTTGGTTATGTCAAGAAACTTGATTTATGGATCCCTCACCAGTTAAAGGAAATTCATTTGACGCAACGGATTAGCATCTGTGATTCGTTACTGAAACGCAATGAGAATGATCCATTTCTGAAGAACCTAGTTACTGGCGGCGAAAAGTGGATAGTTTATAACAATGTTACTGGCAAGAGACCATGGGTGAAGCAAGATCAACCAGCCCAAACAGTATCAAAAGCAGAGATTCACCAAAAAAAGATTATGCTGTCAGTCTGGTGGGATCACAAATGATTTTTGTATTTTGAAGTCATGCCGCAGAACCAAACGATAAATTCAAATGTGTATGTTGAAGAACTCGAAAAAGTGAAGGATGCAATTGAAGATAAGCGGCCGGCATTATCAAATCGGCGGGAGGGTGTTGTTTTCCATCATGATAACGCAAGGCCCCCCCCCTTCACATCTTTGGTTACTCGGCAAAAATTATTGGAACTGGGTTGGGATGTTTTGTCACACCCACCATATAGCCCTGACCTTGCGCCTTCGGATTACCATTTGTTTCGTTCCATGCAAAACTCTAAATGGTAAAATTTTTAACAACGCGGATGACGTCGGATCACATCTAATTCAGTTTTTTAATAGCAAAGACCAGACATTTTACGAACGGGGAATTTTTACTCTGCCAGAAGGATGGAAAAAGGTCATCGACAAGAACGGCCAATATCTAATTGAATAAAGTTATATTTTTAAACAAAAATTCCGAATTTGCCTTCTTATTTGAAATCGGCAATGACTTAGTTGCCAACCTAATATATAGTTACCTTGCCATTGGAAATAACCTGACTCGCTGCTAGTAGTTCCCCAATTCGATGGCAGACCGACTGTTGACTAGGACCCATCATATTAAATCGAAAGGTAGCGAAATCCCTAGTGGGCATATTTACTGAACAAGAACAATTGTTTATTCATTTATTGGCAGAGTAGATATTCGATTTATCCTCAGGAAGGAGCATTGAAAAATGATCGAATAACCTATCTCTTTACCTTCAAAGTTGGCACTTCTTAACTGAGCACGTCAACATTTGTACAAGTGACCAAATTGGAATGTGCTTTTCAAGCCCAACTGGTTGGGAAGTCTGATTAAGCGGAACTATTGTTTTAATGTGAGGAAAATAATTTATCAAATATTTCCTATTGATAAAATAATTTTATTATTTGTTTTTTTGCCAATATCCACTCTTTATTATTGGACAGTTTGAGTATTCTAAGGTCAATATTGGCTTTGAACCTAACCGATTTGTCGTCCAACCACTCTCTTCTTCATCTGCTACTGGGATATCGGTTATTGCGGATCGGAAACTAGTCCAACCCTAAAAAACCATCATTTGAAAACATCGTTATTGGTTTTGCT